CTCTATCAGCCATAAGCTCTATCAGGCATAAGCTCTGTCAGCAAGAAACTCTGTCAGCCATAAATCTCGTTCAGTCATAAGCTCTGTCAGCCATAAACTCTGTCAGCCATAAACTCTGTCAGCCATAAGCTCTGTCAGCCATAAGCTCTTTCAGCCATAAGCTCTGTCAGCCATAAGCTCCGTCAGACAGAAACTCTGTCAGCCATAAACTCTGTCAGCCATAAGCAGTATGTCAAGGGATTAGGAGCAAGCGTGTTTTTGGCTGAGCTCCGCTCTTGGCATATTTTTTTCAGAGCTGCTCCAGCGCCGCTCCGAGGTCCGGCAATATTAAAAGAGAGGAGGGGTGGTTGAGGGTTCTTCTAAAACTGTTACATGAATATGTTCAATATTTTCACTAACCAATCTTGTTAACTGGGCAATGGAAATGTATGTACCAACGACATAGCTTTGGGACAACATAGCTGGTAGAAGTGTGGGACATCATAGCTGGTACAAGTTTGGGGCAGCATGGCTGGTAGAAGTGTGGGGCATGATGGCTGGTAGAAGAGTGGGTCAAGATAGCAGGTTGAAGAGTGGGGCAGCATGGCTGGTAGAAGAGTGGGTCAAGATAGGTAGAAGAGTGGGCCAATATGGCTATAAAAGTGTAGGGCAGCATAGATTTAGAAGAACAGGGCACCAATTTTGATCCATTCATTTATTTTGTATTGAAACTTTCAAATATTAAAATGAGCATTGCCTATTTCAGGTTGATCATTTTGGTGTCAATTCCCTTTTTTAAACATATGCATGAGCTATGAAAGTCGCTTCGGCTTAAGTATGAATTGATGTATGTATCATACGCTCCTGAAAGTAAAACATAGACTAAGTCACCACTTTTATCAATTAAAAAAGAAGAAAAAAATATATTTCTCTGGCATTATTAACCTATTTTAATGAGACAGCTTTTGTAAGCGGGAGTGATTAATGCCTGTTTGTAGTTTATTTGTTTAGTTTAGTCACGTGACCCCCTTGTTGGATTTGATAAGGACGCTCGGTGACTTCAAAGACGACATGATTTTTTTAAAATATTATTTTGGTAAGCTTTTCTGGTGAATAGCAACAGTGATATTGTGTCCACAAGTATTTTGTAGCAGTGCTCACAGCATATTTGCTGAAGCAATATTTTCACCACATTTTTTTTTTTTTTTTTTTTTTCTTCTTTAAAAGTTGAGACCTACAACTCTCGTATGAGATTTCTTTATAAAATAAATGTGCACTTAGAAAGTCATGATGAGACGCCACAGAGCACATGACTTTATCCCTTACATCAGGCCTGAACAACTCAAGATGTAACGCGGGCCGTTATACTTTATGGAAAAACTTGTGCGGGCCGAAAGAAAATAAGACAGTGGGAAAAGCTGTTAAGAAAGTAATAATAACAAAGAATATCTCGTTACTTCGCGGGCCACACAGTGGGTGCTGGCGGGCTGCGGGCCGTATGTTGTGAAGGCCTGCTTTATATGAGCTGTCTGTAAATAAGCCTTTTGACTAAATGATCAAAATCAACTATAAGTTATCAAAATGACTGATATTGTTCAGTCATTAAAATGACTGCTACTGTTCAACTGTCAAAATCACTGCTACTGTTCAGTTAACAAAATGCAGGGCCGGCGCTAGGAGGATGCTGGACCTTGGGCAAATTGAATTTCGCAGGGCCGTTGACGTTATATATTCCGCATATAGGATATTAAGACACGTTTTAATCGTACTGGGGCCTTACTGGTCATAATGGAACGGATATTTGTTCACTCGCTTAGTTTCCAAAATTTCTATTTTTTCCTATAACAGTTAATTGCCCTGGCCCAAATTACTCGTCGCGGCTCCATTGTTACCAATATCAAGGTTGTCAATAAACAAATAACGAAAACACGAAGCTGAATGGGGCATTGTGGTCTGGACACAAGCAAAACACAAGCCAACAGTAAGACAAACAAAATACTCACGACAGCTTTAAGCGAAAATTCACCTTCCTTGCTTTCTTGGTGGCAAACCCTTAGGTGAGTTTTTTCATAGTCAAAGGTGGTAGCAATGTCTCGTTCCATTGATAATGTTGCCAGTCCATTCAATCGAACCTGAGATATTGATGATTACAAGTAAGTTTTTTTCAACTTTAATTTGGAAAATCTTCTTTCCCCAAATAAAGAATATATAAATATACTACTACGGCAACGCGCCAGGCCCTGCAAACGAGGGCCCTTGGGCGGTCACCCACTTCGCCATACGGTAGCGCCGGCCCTGCAAAATGACTGCTAATGTCCAGTTATCAAAATGACTGCTAATGTCCAGTTATCAAAATGACTGCTAATGTCCAGTTATCAAAATGACTGCTAATGTCCAGTTATCAAAATGACTGCTAATGTCCAGTTATCAAAATGACTGATAATGTCCAGCTATCAAAATGACTGATAATGTCCAGCTATCAAAATGACTGCTAATGTCCAATTGTCAAAATGACTGCTAATGTCCAATTGTCAAAATGACTGCTAATGTCCAGTTATCAAAATGACTGATAATGTCCAGCTATCAAAATGACTGATAATGTCCAGCTATCAAAATGACTGATAATGTCCAGCTATCAAAATGACTGATAATGTCCAGCTATCAAAATGACTGATAATGTCCAGCTATCAAAATGACTGATAATGTCCAGCTATCAAAATGACTGATAATGCCCAGCTATCAAAATGACTGCTAATGTCCAATTGTCAAAATGACTGCTAATGTTCACTGATAAAATCATTTTAAAAAATTATCAACTTCAATGTTTATTTCAAGGAGGGGGTTGAGGGCTGCTCCAAAAATTTACTTGTTTTATAAGGCAACGTTAGAGATCAAAATAAAATTATCATTTCACTTTCTATGTGACGTACCATCAGAAAAAAAAAATCATTTCAAGTTCCATGTGACGAACCATCAATAACAGAATTCTCATTTCAATTTCCATGTGACGAACTATCAACACAAAATTATCATTTTAATTTCTATGCAACGAACCATTCATTAAAAAATTATCATTTGAATTTCCTTGTGACGAACCATCAACAAATAATTCTCATTTCAATTTCCATGTGACGAACCATCAAAAAAAAAAAATCTCATTTTAATATTTATTTGACGAACCAGAAAAAAAAATGCATTTCAATGTCTATGTGACGAAGCGTCTGATATAACAATGCTAAAATGTACATATCGGAGACATTTTTGATACATGGGGCATAACGTCAGACAGCTTACTTCAGTATGCTGTAAACTGTTTATTCGTGGGATCGCTACTTAAACCTGACACGAACACTCAACACCATGCTATTCTTAATAGCTTAATAGTAAAGTTTTACAGCCTGACATGCCACCTAAACTTTAACGGCTTACTAAGGCAAAAGTTCTCCCAACATGAGCAGGTGATTTGCTTCATGAGCAGTACATGCAACAAAGTTGTTGTGGTGATAGGTCCCTCTGAGATAGTCTACTAGATCAGCTGGATAATCCATGGATTCTCTACTAGATTCTAGATCATTTAATTTACTACTGCATCTGGATAATCCTGGAATAATCCAATCATTATTTCTTGTTCTTTCCATGTAATGTTAAACTTGAAATTCCTAGAACACAAGCAGGTCATGATATCTCTTTTTTTTTCCTTCTGAAACTATATATGAGACTGCTTTCACCACCCAGTAATGACAATTCATCTTGCAGTTATTGGATTCGCTCCATCGACCATGCAGTCATGCGAATCCCTGCACCCAGAAATCCATATGAATAAACTGCTTTGAATGAGGATAAAATCGGATATGGTGCATCAGCAAGATGAGAAACTGGTTTTTAGCAGATGGCACGCAAGTTAAACAAAAACAAAAACACCCAAAACAAAACGGTCAAGGCCAGAATGCCTAGTCACTGGAACACGTCTCTTAATAGGGCATTCATAGAGTCACAAGATGTGCACTCCAAATGTTTCTCATCATGTTTGAGCTCAAAGGGGTTCTTTTAATGTGGCCTGAGCTCCTTCGTCCAGGTTTAATATCTACGTACAACCACACTAAAGACTGTAGTCCAAAATCAGAATGTATATTTTTTGGATTTGTATAATTCATTTAGCGACACTATGTATAGCGCTTAATAGATGACAAGATGAAATATGAAATAGACAAGTTGCTATATAAAATAAACAATGTGATTTAATTTTAATGATATAGAAAAGGTGATTTATGAAAAAGTCAAAGGGTGTGAAGAAATTCTTTTGCTTCCCTCTTGGATACTACTTTTCGGCTAGGTGCCATTTTCATTTAATTCTGTTTTTTCCGGTTGTTTATTCGCTGACGAAGACTTCCTGCCGACGCGTTTGTTGTGTTGTTGCTTCCCCTTTTTCAGGTTTTCCCATACTTTGTTTGTACTGATTTCCGTTTTTTTTTTCCTAACTTGATTGAAGTATCTCCCCCTTATTACCATTTTGTTTATGAAAACCACTAGGGGCTATTTACATGAAATAGACGAGGTAAAGGTGGGTTCAAATGGACAAATGGATATCCTTTGAGTCACTGGGTTTGCTTGGGGGGTTGATGTATCCTGGAATTGGGTTATGAAAAGCCTCACGTAGACCAAAACGAATTTAGGTCATTCAAGCCCCCTCACACCCCATCCCCCACCCCCACATCGTCTGTGCCTTCAATGCAAAACAAGTTTGGCGTTCAGGTGTGTTGTTAAGTGACCTGACATTTTGTCGCCCCCTCCCCCCCCCCCACCCCCCGGCCTTCCCGTTTCTCGTCACACAAGCCAAGGTAAAACAAACAGACCAGAACGCGGGCTCACCAAACATTTCGTTTTGGCCGGGGAAAGTTAAAATTACTTCAGTAAAGAAATCACTTTCACACTCCAGCCACTCTGCCAGGTTAGTCTATTTTTTTTTTTTTTTTTTTTTAATGTGGGTTGTTCTGAAGTAGTAGATAAATACATTATGTTTGGTTAAGTAATTCGACTAACATATTTGGTGTAGTAGCTCGACTAACATATTTGGTGTATCGAGTTTAGTAACTCGACTAACATATTTGGTGTAAGTAAGTCCACATTAGTTTCCTGTGAATTTCGGAATGGCGGTATGGAGACGATAGTTAGCGGCCTGCGCCGTTTGGGCGTTGACAGTTTCCGTCTATGACCTTGAACTTACTTATTGACAAGCCCATGCATGTCGTTATAAGGTATGGGCGTGGCATTCTACATAAGACAGGTTCAATGTGTGTGCATTGTCAATTTAAAGCGTCCCAGAGATGCCAGGTGGTATTGTTCAAAAATAACCGTGAGTGTTAACACTTTGGTTTAACTGGTTCAACGCGCAAAGAGCGCCACCGGTGGACACGTGATCAGGTGGCAAGTTTCCACATATTAGACAACATAATGTCTATTTTATAAATTATCCTGGCTATTTCTCCTTAACAAAATTATGAATTTGGAAGTTCCCCAATTATCGGCAAAACGCAATGCTCAATGAGTTGCTAACATCAGTCTGAACGTGTCCCCACTTGTTGGTGGTGGAGGAGAAATACTCTCCTATGTCACTTAAATAGGGCGGTCTATATTTGGGGGTCTTTTAAAATGTTAACACTTTATTTCTGATATTTATCAAACTCGATGATGATAATTATCAAACTAGAAGATAATATTAATCAAATTATAATATCTTGTTCAGAGTCTGAGAACATTATCGGAATCGGTGATTAAAGGCGATAAAATTATTTTGCTGCCCTCTCGGACACTACTTCTCAACTAAGAGCAATATTTTTTTTTTTTTCTTTAATTTATTTTCTGTTTTTTCTGTTATTTGCTCGCTGACAAAGGCTTCCTGCCAACACGTTCGTTGTTTTGTTGCGTTCCTTTTTTCACGTTTAACCTTACTTTGTTTAACTCATTTCCTATTTTGCTAACCTGACCGCAGTCTCTTCCCTTATTACCCTTATTATTGCAGTATGGTGCGACGCCATTTCTACAATGAGACATGTACGAACAAGCTCGATTTTCCCCCAACCAAGCCCACCACCCTTCCAAACATAGCCCACCACCCTCCCAAACCAAGCCCACCACATGCCCAAACCAAACCCACCACCCTCCCAAACCATGCCCACCACCTTTCCAAACCAAGCCCACCACCCGCCCAAACCAAGCCCGCCACCCTCCCGCCACACGCCCAAACCAAACCCACCACATGCGAAAAGCAAGGTTACCACCCGCCCTGCCCCTACCCAACCTAACCACCCCAAGCAAATGTGGTTTTACTGTAACTATTACCGCTCCTCGCCGGAATACCACTAAAATATTACTAGCACAATATCCTGGTTATGTATAGTTTAGCGTAAACAACATTTTGTCAACCGCTCAGGCCCATCGACCAGTGTGGAGTTAAGAATCCATTGACTGTATTTATCCTACTACTTAAACACGCAGTTATTAAATGTCCCCCACACACACACGCACCAATGATCTCCTTATCCGAAGATACCTCTACCCCTGTATATAAACAGACGCTGGGGTCGTCGTATGGGCCCTGAAACCCCCTGCGACTACGAGGCCCTCGGATATTTAAAGGACCCAAAGGTGTGATGTGGAAAAATATTTAGACTATCAACGTTGAATTCTGTGGCCACACAATCAAAAAGTGGCAGGGGATCTTCCAAAGACAGCTCTGAACGCACGTAACGAGAACCTCTGTATCCAGCAACAAATCTACCCCTCCTTCCAATGGGCGAACGAAATTAGCTCAAATAATTTACTCCTAAACATGGGGAGCGGTGGATATTTAGCAATGTTTATGAAACCTGATTTTGGTTTGATTTTCTACTTTATTTAGCTAGTTTCTGGTAGCACACAAATGACGTATTGCAATTTGGGTCACAGTATATCTTTCATTAAGTCACTATGTGGTATCACCCCCCAAAAAAAACACATCTTCACAAAACCTTTGGATCCCATAGATTAAACAAATCCAGTTGCCTATTCCTTATACCCAACATGGGCAATAGCCTTTTGTTTTAATCACAAAGGTGACCATCAAGCCACATCAAATGCCACCTTTCATGAAATATTCAAATCTCCGCTAAATACGTGTAGTATGAGTAAGAAAAGTTATTATAATGACAGTCTGGCCACAATAAATTTAAGTACAAATAAAGGGGAACACTTTTTTGTTCTTTTATTAAACAAATTCTATTTTAAAATCCCTATGTTACATCAGCTGCACTATGGTTTAAAACTCGGCCACAAAGCACACCGCAGTTGAGCACAATGATTAGCATTTTTAAGTCAGGAACGATCCGTGCCCGTAAGATTCAAAACTGGAGAAAAAAAGTTAACTCAAACGTTAGAGTGAAATGTTTTAACCAAATATTTCAAATTTGGGAGATCTTTAAACAAAAGATATCGCCACGTTTCACCAAATAAAGCTTAATGTTATGCTATCTTAATTGTATGATATATCAACCTTAAAGTTGTGATATATCAACCTTAATGTTATGATATTTCAACCTTAATGCCTATGATATCTCAACCTTTTCAAAATACTCTGGTCAGCTTCCAGATACGAAATTAAAGAATGTCAGACTATGATGAGAAGGCTTTATTGTTCTTTCACCTGGCCGATGTGGACGGCAACGGCAGCATCACACTGAAAGAACTGGTGGATGTGCTGCACAAAGCTGGGGACAACAGCAGTGAGGCTGACGTTAAGGTTGGTGATAAGGCGTTTTAGTTGGGCCATGAGTTATCTACCGAGACTTCGCTCAGATCAGTGATTGGCTGGAGAGGATTAGAGAAGATAAGAGCGTCTTAGGTTAAACTTCTTGATGATTAATATATATATTGTTAAATCTTTTTGGGATTAATTTGACGTACACATAGTTAAAAATAACATAACTAAGAATAGTTATATTTAACATTTTGGCAAAAATTATCATAGGAAGATTTATACAGATACAGAGGGTCTTTCGAATAGTTGGATCTCATAAATAGATAATTTATTTAAGTAATCTTAGGAGCTGGCAATTGTTTTAACGCTTTTCATAATTTAAAGATGCATTATATAATGATTTATTAAGTTTTGAACAAAACAAAAACAAAAAACAAACAAACAAAAAACTACCAGGTAAAAAATGATGAACCAACGAATATATTATTTCAGGCACTTTTCGGCACCATTGACACAAATCAAGATAATAAAATTACATTAGAGGAGCTTAAAGAAGTGCTGGCCAAACAAGATCCTAAGAAGAAACGGTAAGGACTAGTCACCATTTTATCGTAAATAACAAGTAATTTTAATTAAAACATTAACTATTTTTTCACAAAATGAAAATGTCAAACCATTGAAATCTGTGCGGTGAAAGAAAAAGAAACGAACCTTGGTTTAAGTCCTAGTGCATTTCTCCTAGCTCAGAGTGGGTAAATTAACGGACATTACGTTAAAATTAAACCCAAACTGTTGTCCGTATAAGTCTGTAAGAACTTAACGATGTCTGGCAAATGAATAGTAGTAATATTATCAAAAGCTTTTAAAGAGAAGTGAACCGTGAAATCTAATTTTTTTTTAACGATAAGAGTAATAGGCAGGGAGAAATTAAACAGAGTAGAATGCCATACAGTAACGTTATAAAGTAGGCTCGTCTGGGGAAGGGGGGGGGTCGTTATATGGCATAGACTCGTAGACAAATAGTCATGTGCATTGTGGAAAAATTTTTGATTCATAATTTCAACATTTTTTTCATGAAAATGTGTCTTACAAATATTTTTCCTTTAATAAAATAAAGATATTTACAGATTTATAATATGTTAATACGGTGACGTTGGAGCTCATTATATTTTATCGATTGATCAACTCTGACATGGTTTCATATATCAAGTTATTACAGATATCTCACGATATTTTTCTTTTATGTTAACATTCTTTCAGAGAGTATGCGCTTCGTGCAGCTTTTAAAGAGATCGACACTGATGGTTCCGGTTTTATCACGAAACAAGAGCTGGAGTCTTTTCTTGCTAACCAGGGTGTTGATGATGACGTGACAGAGTTCATTGCCCTCGCTGACAAGGACGGTGATGGGCGTATCAAATTTGAGGAGTTTCTTTCTGTGTTGTCTTGAAATGATTTTATTTAATCACGATTGGCTTCCCCTTGGAACGATGCGGCATAATGTTAGAAATATTGCATGACTCATAAGTGCTGTGACTACACCGTGTTAAAAGTCACCCTGACCTCCCAAAGTCTAAGTTCTATTCAGACATTTTTTTTTTTTAACAACTGAAATCTAAATCAACCAATTTTCTCCAATGTTTGTTCGAATAAAGAGTTAACATATTTATTTCTCTTGTAGTTAATTAATTATCATCTGCTGGTTTTATTTTATTTGAACATTTCCGGTGTGAGTCTAGCTTTGCATTTAAGAAAATTCATTTTTCAAATTTTAAAAAAATTTTTTTTTTTCCTTGAAAATTATGCTTTAATACCTTGCATTTGATTCTATCGTGGATGGATTTTTTTAAAATGTACACAGCTGAATGTCCTTTGATATTTAAAAACTGATGTTGCTTTGACTGCATGTTGACTTTATCTATTGTATGTTAAAAATATATAATTAAACACATTTTTATTGAGTTTTATGAATCATTTATTAAATACATTCAAGTGCTCTTTATTTTGTGAAAATATGGTGACTTGGTTTTGAAGAATAAATGGATACAAGAAAATATGGTGACTTGGATTTGGAGAATGAATGGATACAAGAAAATATAGTGACTTGGATTTGGAGAATGAATGGATACAAGAAAAAATGGTGACTTGGATTTGGAGAATGAATGGATGCAAGAAAATATAGTAACTTTGATTTGGAGAATGAATGGGCACAAGAAAATACAATGGATGTCTATATTTCTCAGCGACCGATGCCGGATAGTAGTAGTAGGCAACCTACTTTGTCGGTGTTAAGTCATCTCACCCCCCCCCCCAGGGCTCGATGATAGTTCCTTGTTTGTTCCTAAAATATATCAATGACCTGCCCGAGAAGCTGACCCCCCCCCCTCAAAGCAAGACTGTTTGCAAACGACACGGTGGTGTATAGTACGATCGCAAGCAGTACTGACCAGGACTAGCTACAACATGACCTCCATCGGTTAGCTGAGTGGGAGATGAGCTGGACATGGAATTTCATCCCGTCTATAAGTGCCAGACCCTGTTAGTCTCCAGAAGCAGAACCTCTATACTCAAACCATTACGAATTGCATGGCAATATTCTTGAGCTAGTTTCCTCCGAAGGGTACCTCGGTGTTACCATTCAAAGGGAGATATGCTGGAACGAGCATATTAACAATGTGTGCAACTGGGCAAACAAGACCCTAGGGTTCCTAAGGCGAAATCTGAAGATCGGCAACTCCAGCGGAAAAGAAAAAGCCAATTTTTTCCGGCCGCTTTTAGAGTACGCATCTTCAGTCTGGGACCCATTCACCCAGAAGAGCATCCACAGATTGGAGGCGGTCCAGCCACGGGCAGCACGCTTTGTCCTGAACTGCTACAGAAATGCCTCAATTGTTGGCAGCATGCTGGAAACACTGGGCTAGTCACCTTTGGAGGAACGACGACGACCATCCAGGCTCTCCGTGATGTACAAGATAAAAATGGGCTGGTCCAGCATTAAACGGAAACTCCGGGTATCAAAATAGGAAAGGAATCAAAATGGGAAAGGAACACACACAAAAATTCAAGTAACAAATACAATTTCCCGTGTGACCAAATCACAATGCATGGGTTTTGATTAAGGGGGAAGAGCTGGTGACCTTGTCAGCACCAAAAACGTTTGCAGGAGTTGAGACAATGTCACATCGCCTACGGGGCTCCCTCTCCTGGTTTGAATTCGGAGATTTCCTGTCTATTGTTATCTCTCCTAGGTTTTGCTTCAATACACGAGCTGGGATTGACATATTTTTGACACAGCCATCACGCTACCCAACCGATGTCTGGATTTTGAGAATTAAAACTAAAAAAAAAATAATGAAAAAAGACCTACTAAAAATCATACTTTGAACTGGATTCTATCATTTGATTTGCTGAAAAGTGTGAGAATTATTGAGCTGTAAGAAAAAAAGTAATCTTTGTAATTCAATATCATAACGAATGGTCAATATTTTCAAACAAATTTCAACTTTAAATGCATATATATTATGATATTCATACTGAACGCTCGAAATAAATAACCATACACAGAAATAACATAACTATATACAAGATCTATCTAGTGATGTCATTTGTGGTAGTTTATTTTAGTTAAACTGAAGAATTAAGTTTACAAACATATAGTCCATTCAATTATCTTTCATTCGATACCTCATTTTGTCTTACAAACCCAACAATAAGATTTTTAATAATTTTTTTAATCCCAACCTCTCACTTCTGGTACCCGGGTACGAATAGCCACTTCGTTGATTAAAACTGTAAAAGGGCTTTAGCGGTCATTCTGGACTCATCATTGTGTCCCTCTGAGGTCAGTTTCGGCCTTGCAGAGTGAGCTGGTATTAAATCGTGCCTTTTCGTAAAACACCCCCCCCCCCCTTTTTTTTTCCAATCGCAATCTTTCAACCATGACCATGGAAATAACGAAGACAAACTGATAAGGGGTCGTCCATTAATTACGTCAACTCTTTTCGTAAAACCCCCCCCCCCCCCTTTTTTTTTCCAATCGCAATCTTTCAACCATGACCATGGAAATAACGAAGACAAACTGATAAGGGGTCGTCCATTAATTACGTCAACACTTTTTACGCAATTTTTCACCCTCCTCACTCCTTGTCAACAACTTTCAAACTTTCGATGACCCCCCCCCTATTTAATTATGTCAACATTTTATAACCCCCCGCCCCCCCAAATGAATTACGATATAAATAAATTGATAAATACGTTTTACTTAGTGCTGATGTACTTTAAATAACACAAAATTGTAGGAAAAACATTTTATGACATCTTTAGCTTGTTAATCAACAAGTTAAAATGTTTGTACACTTAAATTTTATAAAGCAGAATCAATTAAAAGGTTGTTTAAGATTAAATATCATTGTTTGTAAGAGTATAAATATAATTATTGTCAGTATAGCTGACAATTATAGTATAGTTTCTAGCTGCTATTATCTTCCCATGGAGTCCCAGGTGTTGCTCTATCGTGACAATGGGCATCAGGAACATCATTTGGGTAGGGCAGGGGGGCATTTGCACCCTCGCACCCCCCCCCCCCCCCCCGATTTTGCTGATTTTATTTAAAATTGCTATGTACTGTGGCACCTCCAGTAATAAACAACAAGCCGAACAAGTTTTGGTTTTGCACCCCCCCCCCCTTTTTTTTTCCCTTCCCCTCAAAAAAAACCCTGAAATGACGCCATATCTATAGTAGCTGATTCATGACTTTCATCTTGCGGAACTGATAGACCAGACAAGTCAACAGCATTCTTATCTAACCATTCAGCAATTAAAATAGAAGCATTGTCAGTGTGAGCAATAATTTCCATAAGCTTTCTCTGTCTTTGAGTTGGTAGAGTTGTTATTGAACACAGATAAGTTGTTGTTTTTCGTTAATTGAACACCATAATGTACAATGATGTGTTAATCATTCTAGGGAGCGGATTAAGAGAAAAATTGACAGGTGAAGAGATGCCAACTTTTGACTTCTCTTGCACTAACAAAGTGTGTTAACATTCTGACCAACTATCTGCCGTGAAGAGACAGACACACATTAAATAACTCTTATATTGTTAAAAGCCTAAACATATTTGACTATGTACACTCATAAATTGTTTAAAATAATGTAAGTACAAGTCAATTTTTAATATTAAAATTTTAATAGAAAAAACATGATTGTTGACATCAACTAATCTAAACCTCCCTCCCTCCCCCCCCCGCTGTCAACAGCTGTCAAACATTTCCACCCCCTCCCCCCTATTTTGTTGACGTAATTAATGGACGCCCCCTATGCGGTGGATTGGTGGCGCATGTAGCCGCCCGTCACTATAAAGAGAAAAAAAATGACACCAAGGGGGGACCAATAACTCCGCAACCATTTCCTTCGTCACCGTAGTCATCTTTTGATGTATTTGACAACAGAAATGATACGACGCATAAGAATAAAAACAAAATAGAGACGCCGCTTCTCTGTGCATTCTAAAATATTTCTTGAAAAAAAGATAAACAAAAAAACTTTGATATCAAACTATTTATTTTATTGTATAGGAAATATAATTTTATTCATTTAATTACTGTTGTTTTAATATTTTTATGATTTGTTTTAGGAAAAAACGTNAAAAAAACATTTAATTTTAACTTTTTAATTTAAGTTTTTATACTAATTATTTAATTTAGTTTAAATCTAGATTATTTTATCTGCAAAGAAAACTGATCCAAGAAATTTAAATTCAATGCCTAGACAAAAAAAAAATAAAAAAAAAAAAAACACCAGCTGTTCCCTGAAGCCAGGGTAATAAATAATATTAGTTCAGTAATGAGTGAGACTATTGAGAAGTTGAGTCTGAATGATGAGTGAATTAGTATTTGGAAAGGACAGCTAGTGAGCTACTTAGTTAGTACTGATTAGTGCATTCTAACTTATTTAACTTACCAACTACTAATAATATGGTAAATTTATTCTATAACAAGTGGCAGTGGTGTTACCCTCATTTGCCCCTGTGTTGGTTGCTACTTTTCCATTCAGAGCATTTCCATTTAGAGCATTTCCATTGCTGCCATCTTTGTTGCCATGACAGCAGACATGTCAAAATGATGGACATAACACAGAGCATGGTTAATTTCCCCAGATTGTGCCATGACCTGAGGCTGTGTAGGATTCTCCCCCTTTTTAAAAACTTTTTTGTTGTTTAGAGTCTATCTATAGAGTAAATTTTCCTTAATAAAACATTGGAATGTTTTCAATTTTAACTTCATTGGTTGGTTAATTATAATATTTAAATTTTTCGGCATTTCGAAAAATATGTTAATTTATTGTATTTTTGTAATAATTTTCTGACAACTTTTGGATTTTCTTTTCGAACCTTAAATAAAGTATGTAAAAGTGTATTCTTAGTGTAAGAGGTGTTTCCATTATTTTAAAATTATTTCGTATATTGTTTTTCTTCATTTTTACTGGTTTTTTTACCACAGTGTGTAATTGTAGCTGCACACATGATTTAGTTGTGGGAAAAGAGCATGTACCAGCTGACATTTCATCAGGGAAATATCTAAATGGATACAATAAAGCTACGTTCACCAAGAAATTTATGTACCGGAAGAAATTTTTTCATTCAATTTTAACATTTATGTCTAATTTTCGCTTCTCTCTGTAAATAGCTTAACCACCACAATCTATCCCTTTCCCCTTCTTATTTTAGTAGACGTGTATTCTTTTTTACATGGCCGCCATCTTGGTTGCTATGACCCATCATAGGTCATAGCAACCAAAGTGGTGGCAGTGGGTAAACGTCATGCCGCATATAGCCTAAATTTACCAAGAGCATAAAATAGGAAAAGGGAGACAGTGTGTTACAATAAATTAATTTAATTAGCGATACATTTCGTCAGTGGCCAATGTAGCAACTTTATTGTATACCTCTAGATAAGAGACAAGAGGTCTCAACAACATGTGGTTGCTCCCTTCCCTCAAGTATCCCTAAAACATGTGTGCTACAGTCGCACCCTGTGGTGAGAAAAACCAAAGAAAAATGAAGAAAAATAAAATTTCAAATAATGATAAAAACCAACGTACACTTTTACATACTTTATTACAGGTTCCACCAAAATTAAATTCCAAAACATGTCATATAAGTCATAATCTATTTCTCATAATAATCAGACAGCAAAATAGCCTCATTTTGAAATATTATAATTAATCACGCTACAAAATGCTACTTTTAAAAAGTGATAAAAAATGCATTCCATCTGCATATTATTATTAATAGAAGAAAAGAATAATATAAGTTAACAAGTAACAATTCAAGACTAAACAAGGGGAGTTCATTCATACACAGAACCCAGGCGCCATTTTTAGCACCACATTTACTCTATTCTTTGCCATTTATCTTGTTTGGGGAGAATAATTTTCCATTAATTAAACACGGAAGATTTCTCCAGTCCATAGTGTCTGAAACAGCTGTAGTTGGTTTTAGATTTAAAGTAAAGTTCTTCCTAATTGAACCTCATAAAGAGCACAGAATTGCACCACATGAGCCACAAGCTGAAAATCAACAAATTCCATGACCTGAGAGGTATTTGTAACAGTAACACTTTCTTCTCATTCAGTGCCCAACATTGAGGTTCTTGAAATACCTGATACACATTTGCAGTATGCTATAAACTCTCAACGAGAGACGCATTCATTGCCCTGACCCAGTCAAAAGAATGCACCACAGCTGCAGCTACAAAGACTTTGGCGAACTGGCATAGAAACACAACTCACTAACTCTCAACCAGAGACACATTCATTGCCATGACCCAGTCAAAAGAATGTACCACAGCTGCAGCTACAAAGACTTTGGCGAACTGGCATAGAAACAAAGCTCACTAGGTCTTTGCAGCAAGGATGTTTGCAAGACATATAAGAAGGCCGTCAGCAAGAATATTAAGGATTATGCAAACTGTGGAGAAGACCTGTCTGGCTGGAGTCTTTCCATCAAACGGTGACTTGATGAGTCCCGATAATTTTGGAATTCTAACACTATTCAAAGTGATGCCAGTGGGAACACTGATACACAGTAAACTTCTACTTTCACCCATTGAAAGTGAAACAGAGGCTACCACTTCAGGATCAGGCTCTTGTCCCCATCGAGGGTGTGCAGATAGAAAGCTATGCCACAGCCTCACACAAAAAAACTATTTCAGACATCAAATATAATGCCTCATGCACATTAATTGACATTTGGATCTGTTTGATGAAAGATGGACTTTATTTCTTTTGTCATTTTCAACATCTTTCAAAAGAAAAAAATTTCCATGCTTTCAAACTAAGATAAAGATAAACGTTTCCTTTCTAATTAAAATGTCATTATAACTTGCTCTGTAAAATCCTCATGCGATCTATACATTAAAACAAGGATAATATTTATCTCAACACCAAGTAATTATGACTAAACCAAGGTTTTGAGCGAAAGTAACTTGATAGAGAAGCTTGGAGATTTAGCAAAGAATAAAGTCGAATAATAAAAAGTTCTTTCATTTTGGCTGTGCCCTATGACACAGACCTGTTTACTCTTACGATTTTGGCGTACAATGTATGATTTTGAGGTGTATAAATTATATATGCTGTATGTTTATTTATTTACTATTAAGATAATGTATTGAACGATTTTGTGATGATATTGTAAGATGTTAAAAATTTGAGGGTAAACAGGTCTGCTATCGCTAAAGGTTAAGAATTATTTACTCAGCACCCCTAGGGGATCATTTGGTACTCTTGCATGAGGGATCATTTGGTACCCTTGGTTGAAAACCATTGCTATATGCTATAGGCCCAAACCATTGGAAATAATCAGTCATTAAGCCTGTTTATATTTTTTTATGATAAGATTAACCTAAGTTATAATAATAATAGAGTATTATTAAAGTAATGTTTGAATTTATTTTAAAAGAAACATTACCCTAATACAAAAGTTAACTTTAAAAATAACCTGATTTTTCAATACCGTAATATTGTGAAACTGCTACAACTTGAGAAAATGTTGGTGTGTAGCTCTTATTGCTTCATCTAGGTGAGAGCTTGTCACACAAGGTCTCGTTTTACCTTCGATGATGCTCATAGATTCAAGATTCGTTAAATTATTACTTTTCAGGATTACACTTTCTGAACATTTTAAACACTCTAATAATCAAAATTCAATAATATAAACAAATGCAAATGGATTATTTATTAACTATTTATTAACCATGCACAAAACATATCAATCCATTTTTTTTAAAAGTGTGATATTTTCTTTGAATTTGAATTCAGCAATAAGTAAATAAAGATATCCTTCCCTTAAAAAATGTAAATGTAATATAATTTGAAAGAAGAATTTGCACACCTGATACAGAAGTTGAAGTGATGGGATGGGATGGGTCTGTGGATCCTCATTCTTTCTCATAGATATAAGATGAGAGATAAGATTCTTCTTTGATCCAAATACATGGAAATGTTTTTAATTAACTCATAAAAGTTTGAGAATACTGAATGATCTATTGCCTTTGATCTGATTGTATGATTATGGTGCAATAAGATTATTGCTAGTTTGAATAGCTCTTTACTGTCAATTGGTTATAAATTAGAAAGTAATTGAAATATACTTAAATATTTAAACTAATGGAAAACATATTTATTGTTGGATTATATTTTCAGACCCATTTGAGCAGCTGGTGACTAAATCTTCCCTTGAAAATCTGAGTCTTGAAAATGAAAATAAGAAATTAGTTCTTGACAAACAACCTCAAGGTGAAGATGAGAAATCAGTTCTTATTTCTTTTGATACTCTAACTGTCCATGGGACTGATGATTGGACACAAAATGAAAAGCCGTCAGCAATGGCTAATTTAACTTCCATTAAGAACCTTGTTCTTCAGTCAAACATTGAGAACTTGGAACCCAGAGCAGCTGGCGAGGATGTGCGGCTTACATCCTCTCATCATCAAAGCACTGAGAAGAAAAACTGTGGAGCATATATAGATGATAAATTGGACAGCAGGAGTAAAGGTGAGGTTGAGCTTAATAAATCAAGCCTTGCAAAGATGGTCGAGGGAGAACAACTCAGTGTTGAATCATCACCATCACAATCAACAGAGAAAAACGTCGTGGGGACTAGCAGTGTGTCAGCAATAGCTGAAAATACTGTTGGGGCAAGTCAGTCACAAGAGAATTCAAATGAACTAAATGAGAGAGAAGTGAATGCTGATCTTAGTTCATGTTTAATGAACAGCAACTCCAACAGACAGGAGCAAAACAAGCCAGAGTCATCAATGTCGGATGTTTTTGAACCAGATTCCAAAACTCGAGACAAGCAACCAGAGAAACAGCCAGAAGAAAGACCTGTGCGTGAAATGCTTGTGCGCAGACAGCGCACAGAGAGCACAGAGACCAGCAGTGAAAACAAACCGGTTTTGGAGACACTGACCTTTAGTGCCTCAAAGGATGATAAATCTGGGAATCCGGAAGGCAGCAGAGGAGAGGGGGATATGTGCATCTGTCCTTGTCTGCTGTGTGACAGATCATATCCTGCTTTCAGCAAGGAAGACATCCTGGCGCATCTTGTTCTTATGCACAAGTTTGTCATTGCTGATGTCAACTACATCGCTAACCTTCCTGCGTAAGTAGATAATTGATGATATTATAATAACTCTACTTTTGCACGCCATAAATTAAAAATGTGAACAATAGGTATATCTACCATTGATTATACACATATATAGATACATTAATTTATTTATTTATATATGACTTAGTGGATGTATTAAAAAATTAATTTTTTTCTTAATGAAGATTATCGCATTTAAGTAGGTTTACCAAATAGTGAATATTTTTTAAATCCTTTTTACCAGTTACTTGAAGTATTGGAAAAAACGATTTGAAGAGAATCCAATTACTGATTTTTGCTCCAAGATTGTAACCAATACCGGAGTTAAAGATGAAGGTAAACCATGTTTTTTCCTTTCAATTCTTTTAAAATTTTAACTTAAAGGTTTTTTTTTTTTTAAATTTGTCGTAACTAGTATTTTAAATGCATTAAAGTAGTGAAGTTGATAATAAAGTTAACTATCTACATAAATTCAAGGTCAAGTTGATAATATAATTTTCATTCTAAGCTTTGTGAATGTTATCAGTGAGGATTAGTGCTTAACCTTGAAATATATTTTTTTTAGCACCAAAAGAAGAGTTTTTTCTTCTTTGTGATGCATTGCCAGAAGATAAAGACCTCAGGGAACATCTTCAAAGGAAGAAACTGGTAAGAACTAACGCTGTGATAATTGCAGGTTTATAATAATTACACTAAAATTATATTTTTGTGTTTTATGGTGTTCATAAACTAATTCAACTATTTTTATTCACATTAGAGACCAGTTATTGCTTATTGCAATATAAATTTCAATGTTTTGTTTGTAACTGCTTTAAAAAAATTAGTGATTGCATACTACACCAATATTAAATTGTTTAATATTAAATATCTTTTTAAAAAATGTCACAGTATTCTGAGGATAGGTTTTTGCTTGTTTAAAGCTTCATGCATTTAGCTTGTAGAATATATTTATCTTGGGGGTTTCCATTATGGTAGCTAAGAAAGGATGAAATGTTATTCATAATTATAAAATTTGCTGATCTTTTACTACTTTTTGTATTGTGCGCTATAGGAGATCATACTGGCACAACAGCAAAAAGAAAGAGAAGAGACAAAGTTCTGTCGTCAATGCTTGTTTTGCAAACAAACTTTCTGTGGAAACAGGTAACCAGACGCATTAGATAATCTCTTTCTTGTACCCCAAACTGATTAAAAATGATATTCAAGACAGATGTAAAACTTCCTACCTCTTTTTCCAGAATATGTGATATAACAACATTTTTTTAACTATGTTACTGCATACAAGTTTAAATAAATAGCTATTTTAAAAGTTAGATTTCAGAAAAAATTATACTTACAATTGCTCATTAGATTTGAGGTTTCTGTAAATTTCACAACCTTCAGGCATCATGTAAATTAACATTCAACACAATGTTCTCATGTAATGAGTAAAGCTATCTTATGCACCTCGCTCAGGAAAGATGTTCACTTTTGTGCAACAATACATCTTACATTAAATGTTCATGACCGACCTATTCACAGTGCAAAATCATCCACTATTTTATCTCCGGATCCAGTCATTTTACATGGCCCAAAATGCTTTTCTGCCATCATAAGCAATCTCAGGAATACATTTATCAAAAAATATTGTATAAATTCTTCAATATTACTGACATCTCACCGCTTATGCAAACATGTTTACCCTCAATTTCTTAAAATCATACAATATCGTCACAAAATCATTCAATACCTTGTATTTATAGTAAAAAAATAAACATACAGTATATATATTGTATACACCTCAACATCGTACATTGTACACCAAAATTGTAAGAGTAAACAGGTATGCTTATGACACAGGACACCCAAATACCACAATGAGTATAGATGTGTTTCTTGAATTTACCAAAGTAAAGATGTTAATAGAAAACATTAAATTTATATTAAGTTAACTATTAAACAGCTCTCTAGGTATAGGAAATATATTCTCATTCAATTATCTATGTATTATTTTAAAAGTTCCTTTACAAAGGTTAATAAAATGTTTATTTTCAGGGCAGTGCTGTTTGATCATTTGCTTAGAGATCACACATTCCACATGGGTCAGCCAGACAACCTGGGTAAAAAACATTTTCATTACTCTCTGCTAGAACTAGTCTCCAGTTAAAACAGTTATTCATCAATTACTGAGTTTTCGTCCATGTTAACAGTACAGTCTGTATTGAAGGTTTTCCAAAGTTAGCAGCTGTCAGGGGGGCACTTTCAAAAAATGACTTTATATAACATGACTAGTTTTAATATCATTAGCAGGCAAATGGGAAGGGGGCTTTACAAAAAGCACCATAGGTGTATAACTATAAGGCATGATAATATTTTTTTTCTATGCACCACCAACTTCTTTAATGCAACCTATGCCTGATATATTTTTGTTATCCAAAACATCTGGTTACCAGTTAGTTTTGAAAATCTACACGCTATAGTAAGAATAGCATATCATGTGCAGTTACTTGTTACCTTCCATAAAGATAATCATAGTCTGATGGGCTTATATCGGACAGGGTCAGGTTTTTTTTTATTTACTAAAAGTCTAAAAGATAACTGACAATCCAAAACTGTGCAGAAAATGTGAACTCTGTTTCTGTTTCCAATGGTGAGGTTTTAACTGGAACTATTTAAAGTTTTTCTCAAAATAATTCATCATTGTGAGAACATTGCTGTTTTTTTTAAACTTATTTTTTTTTAAGTAACAGCTTAGGCTTAGATTATTTTGTCATTGACCTTGTGATTCACACCTAAATCCTGCCCCACCATAGAAATTCTTAATTACATTAACATGTAATTAAAAGTTTTTAATCTCATAAATTTATACAGACGTTCACCAGTAATCATTAAATGCATTAGGATTTCTAGTCACTTCCAAATTTATGGATAAAGTGATTGCATCTATCTTGTATTAATGCCTATTAGTAAGTATTATTGAATTGATTATGAGAGAGGGATGAATTTGAATGCAATTGACATTATTGTGCTTTGTTTTGTTTTCTCAGTCTTCACTGATGAATTGTTTGACCTCATTCAATCAAAACTTGACAAGTAAGAACTTCATCTCATTTAAATATGTGGATAAAAAGTGCTACAACATGAACATTTAAAAAGTATATTTCCTAGAGACCTGGAACTAAATTCCTCTAATAATAACATCTTTATTGGATATGCCACAAGCAGAACCAAAAAAAATAAATCTATTCCTCAGCATGCTATTATTTTTACAAAATTTTAATTTAAAACATTGTTTAAGGGTTAGCTCATTATGACTACATTAATTTGTTTTTTTTATCAATGAAATACACATTTGTGTATTCATTTAGCCTAGTTTTGATAAACATATTTAAATGAATAAGTCTTACCAATTCTGAATTAATAAATAATGGTTTTTGTTGAATAAAACATTCAATGATAGGGGAGTGTTGCTTGTTTTCTGAATAGAAAATGGTTTTTTTACTAAAGATATGGCTAAAGTAAAATAGCTTTTTAGGAATGAACAGCTCATGATTAAAAAAATGTTTTTCCCCTATTTAGTCAGCTGTGTCTCTTCTGTGAAAAATCATTTAAAGACAAAGCCAGTTTGAGGGAGCACATGAGGAAGAAGCAACATCGTAAGATCAATCCCAAAAACAAAGAGTATGATAGATTCTACATCATCAATTACATGGTGGGTCTAAAAATACCAGGGAGTTATTACATTTTATACCCATTTTAATTGAATAAAATTTTGTTTGTGTATGAATCATGTACCCTCATATTCTCCATAAGTAGCAAGTTGTTAACATTATTTAAGATAGATAAAAGAAATAATAACTTCAGTCAATTAAAGGAAATCTGCTTTCAATGCATACCTCAAATTAGTAATAATCAGAGATGCAGTTTATTAACATGTTGTTTTACACATGTCTATGATTATTGTGGCTGTCATTTTTGTGACTTTGATTGCTTTGTCGATGATTATTGTGTAGTTGAATGAGCATGTTGTTTTTGATGTGTGTATGATTGTTGTGTCTGTTTTTTTATGAATATGTTAGTTGTCTTTGAGTTTTTTAGACATGTCTATGATTTTTGTGGCTGTGGTTTTTGTGCCTATGATTGTTTTGTAGTTTATAAACATGCTGTTTTAGACATGTCTATGATCGTTAGGATAATATTAGGATTAGGGACATTAAATATTAAGTAAGGTAATTAATTTATATATATATAAAGAAAAAAAAGATATATATATATATATATGAATATTACCTTTTTTCTAATCTCTTTTAAAATCTCCAGCTGTATTAGGTTATCAGTGGGCTTAAGTTTTGTTATCTTAACTATGTGCCTCATCTTCTTCTTATATTTGAGGGCCCCAAGATCAATGTGTTGATCATTCTGGCTCTGGTTTGAATTCAGGGTTTTCCTTCTATGTCTCTTTATTTGTGCACACATGATTGTTTTGGAGCAGCCAAATTATTTGTGACTATTTTAAGATTATATTATTTTCAATATGATTTTATTTTTAATTAACCAGGAAATGGGAAAGAACTGGGAGAGCCTGCAGTCTGAAGACAATCGTCTGGTCAAGACTAATGATAAAGCCTCTGATGAAGAAGAGTAAGTCTGATACTCAAGCTAAAAGTTGACCTTTGACGTGGTTGAATGTTGATTTAATCATAGTGTAACCACCATGAAACAAAGTAATCTAAGTTTATCTTACTTTATCTGAAAATCACTACCTTCAGCCCATGAAATATTTATTTATTACTATATTTCATTGTAACTCAACTCAAGTGAATATTGTTAATGTGTTATAAATAATTTATTTCTCTTCATACTGCATATATTAATAATTTTTTACAGTTATGTAGAAACTGCTAGGATTATTGTTGGAATCACTCTCTAGCTTTTGCTTTTTATATTATTTTAAAATTTAAAGCAGTTTCTGTCATTTCAGAAAGAAAAAAAAAAGAATTTTGAGTTCATCAATTAAAGATCAAGATGTCTTCCAAAACTAAATTGGCATAAATTATTCTTTGCTCATAGTTATTAAAAAAATTTTTTAGTACAAGTAGTTTTTGAATTGAGATTATTTTCTAAAATAATGTACGAAAATGTATTTAGCGAATGGGCAGGCTGGGATGAAGAGGCTCATTCTAAAGTTGTGTGCCTCTTTTGTGATTCCTCATGTGCAGTACAAGCAGAGCTTCAAAACCATATGAAGGTATTTTAACCTCATAAATCTTATGCTAAGGCATAAGACTTAATTCTAAAATATTTCAAAGGTTTTTTTTTTTTTGGTTTTTTTTTAAATACCTGGTAATTACTAGAGTTTTATTAATGGTTAAAAATTATAACCTGCTTAAAAATCAGCGAAGGATTTAACATTTGTTCTTCCATTGACTAGGATAATCACGGCTTTGATCTACAAGAGGTGAATCACAAACTGCAGCTAAACTTCTACCAAAAAGTTAAACTCATTAACTATATTCGACGTCAGGTGAGTGTCTTTGAACAAAATTTCAATTCACTAACTAAATTCCACATCAGGGTAGGGAAAAAGTTAAACTTATTTACTACTTTCTAAGTTTGGTAAGTGTGAGTGATCTAGCAACCAGATGGAATCCCTTCTTATGGAACTGTGCTTTTTAAAAAATAGAAATTTAAATAAAATCAGGTTCTACCTTTAGGTATTCTAAATGAAATTTTCATAATGAAATTAAATAAAATTCCCTTTAATATAGGGTGATCAAACATCCTGTAAAAACAGGATGTCCCATTTTTTCACAATCGTACCTGTTGTCCCGAAAAAGTCTCTCGGGACGCCTAAATGTCCCGTTTTTTAAACCAAAAATTTTCAAATAACTAAAACTTCCTAATTTATAATATAACTTCAATTAATATTTTGGCTAGCTTTGTTTTTGTAGCCAGTGCCAGTAGTGATGTGGGCTCATGTGATTGGCTGCACTGAAACCAATTTTGATTCCATTACCATTACGTGTAATGTGTTAGTCTTATGTGTTATCCCTGCCGGCCTGTTCGTGTCAGAATGACAGTTGTTTGTTTTGGGTGTTGAACTTTATTCTTTAATTTTATATTATCTTCTCATGTAAACAATAATTATGCCCAATCGTCAATGTAAGTTTAAACAATAATTATGCCCAATCGTCAATGTAAGTCTATGGAGGAGTATTCCAAAGAGTGGAACTATTTTAAAAAGGGACGCTATGAAAGTGAAGCCGAGTGCATTGTTTGCAATAATGTTTTTAGTATTGGTCATGGTGGATGTTCAGACATAAAACAACACATCATATCAGTGAAACATAGGAAAAGACTGAGTGCCCCAAGTAGATATCTAGGTTAGATTTCATAGTTAAAATTAACATATTTCAATAAACAGTTTCCGGCGGAGGCCCCCGGACCCTTCTTTAGCTGGGGGGGTTCCCCCCCCCCCCCCCCCCCCCAAAAAAAAAAAAAAACAAAACACGTCCGTGAAAGTGTCCCGTTTTTTCCAATCAACAGATTTGGTCACCCTACTTTAATAGAACTTGTCATCAGAATCACCAATTTTAATTCTTCTTGAAAGTTATGAAATTTAAAAATCCCCGAACATCATCAAGTTTTTGAGTACTGAAGGGGATTGTTCTGACATCCGCTATCTTCTTAAATAACTAATTTGGAACTTTCAGATCTCTTGCACTCACAACCAGTTTTACATATAACAAACACAATTTTTTTCAGGGTTATCACAAAGATGTACATAAAAAAAATTATTCATACAAAAATGAATCAGAAATATAATGTTTAGATATTGTTAAAGGAAATTTATATTTTATTATTGTGGACTCAAGAGGCAGAAGACAAATTAATTTATAATTAAATAGAATTACCTTAAATAAGCATGTTCACAAAAAAAAAAAAAAAAATTTTGACAAAGTAAGATGTTAAATAAAATTTTTTAAAGGAAATTTATATTTTATTATTGTGGACTCAAGAGGAAGAAGAAAAATTAATTTAAAATTAAAAAGAATTACCTTAAATAAGCATGTTAAAAAAAAAAAAAAAAAAAAATTTTGACCAAGTAAGATGTGTAAGTAAACTTTTCACCATATTTTAGAAACTGATGTTTTTAATTGGGAATTAAAGAGGCTTTCTAAAGTTTATGCTCTTATATTGGACCAATGGGGAATTTCTGAATAATATATTGGCATTCTGTGAATAAATACGCTGCTAGTCTGTGAATAAATACAATGGTAGTATGCGAATGACACATTGACATTGAATTATTTTTTATTCTTTGTTTTGACAGATCTATCACAAAACCTGTTATGGCTGCCAGGAGTCTTTTTCTGACAAGGATGCTCTCACCAGTCACATGGTGAACTACTCAGAACATATCAAGAAAGTTCCTGATGCTACTGTGTGGGATCAGCCTCAGTAAGAATTTAGTGATGTATAAATTGTCCAATAGGCTATATGACAACCAGGCTGTATGATAACCAAACTACATGTCAAACAGGCTATATGACAAGCAGACTATATGTGATTAACCAATTATAAAAAGTGTTGGTTTGCAATAAAGCTTTAAAATAGATTAATAAGACACCAACAATTTATGTCAATATAACAATTTAAGGTACGCTTTAATGGTAATTTTACAGAATACAAAAGTATACGTCTCGGCACATACCTTCATCAGTACAACAAAAAGACAAATAAGTATAAATTAAATTTACATAATATATATATATATATACAGATATCCTAACTAAAAAGAGGGGGAGAAAAAATAGGAGGGGGCGAAAAAAACAGACAAGCAAAGTAAAGAAAAGTGTAAAGGAAGTGATTTTACAATTTTGCTCAAATCACTTTCTTTACACTAACTACTCACCCAAGCCGTGGGCCTGTGTGTCATTGAGACGAGTCTGTGACATGCAAGGATGCGTCACCTACTGAGCTAATGATGTCCATACATAATAAAAAGGAGCTTAACTGACGCAGAGAGGGCTATTCTAGCAATGTATGCTTACTACACAATAGTAAATATATTGGACAGTCTAGCCCAGTGGTCGGCAAACTCATTAGTAAAAAAAGAGCCAAAAATCAGCAGCAGAACGATTAACAAAATTTTGAGAGCAAAATTTCTTTTCATTAACCTGTCAAGAACCATGATTTTCTGAGTCAAAAAAAAAAGATGAATGGCCAAGCCGCACTCAGGTTGCTATAAAGCCGCATGCGGCTCGCCGCGATTTGCCGACCACTGGTCTAGCCTGATTTCATCACATATACATGTGTCCTAATGTGTCTGTTTTGTTCTTTTCTTCACAGCTGCAGGTACCGGGTGTATATTTAAAAAATGGTAACTTGTTTTTTCCTCAGATATTTCTTCCCCACTTATGAGGATGACAGCCTCCTGTGTCACTTGGATGATGATGATGATGGTGCGGCTGGGGATGCCCAGGGTGTGACTGTCATCGCTGAAGACATTCCGGTGCCGGACACCATACTCAAGGATCAAAAACTTCGCAGGGATCTGCTCAAGGCATAATGACCACAGTGTTTCTACGACTGGTAACATCATTTTAGGGTTTAGGTAAAACAAGCTTTTGGACTATCAATGTTAAAAATATGGGCACAGCAGATCAGTAAATACATGGTGACCAATAGCTGTTGTAATCTGCCAATCAAATCTTTCATTTGCTCTCAGTATCTTCTCTAACAAAAGTCTTCTTAACTGCATCAGTTTAACCCAACATTTGGAGATCATATTTAAAACCATTTATTAGGTGAGTCGTGACATCTGGTCTAGTTCCTTCCAAGTCAGTTTTACCAAAGAATTGACGCGGCTGACTTTTGCATTTATAAATGAATGTCCGATTATTTGCCTTCCTTACAAAAACTGTTGATATGAAGAAAAAACTGTTGATCATCTTGTGATTAGTTAGTTCGAGAGAAAATAATGGGCATTTCTTAAACATTTTATGTAAAGTCTGCTTCTATAAGTATTCTTTCTTCACATAGAATGTTGATGGATACACTGACCTCGTATTTTAGAAATGTTAGTTTTCTACAGGCATAATTTATGTTCAATTTAATCTCGGGGCTGATCTAAAATCAAATGGAAGAACATCAATATATGGCATTTGACACACTCCTTGAAAATCGTGATTCATAGTAATAAAAAAATTATAACTTCTGTAATGTTCTGTTTACTGAAAATAGGGCACAGGGGGTAGGGGCTCATGTGTGATTTCTTGCCATATGTTTTCTTTGTAAATAAAATAAAGTAAACATTTAACAGACATAAAACAGTCAGTTTAATTGAAGCATAAAAAAACAGTCAGTTTAATTGAATCATAAACTCTCTTTTCTTGTTCTTTGCTTTTTTCTACAGCAATGATTATTGAGCCCCATATAAAATGGTTATCTGAAGCAGGAGAAGGAAAAGTATTTTAAGTTTTCACCAAAGATAATGTATTGAGTTTAAAATAATACAGCACATCTGATCAAGTGTATTGGTTCCTTTGGTTGATTGCTCTATATTTGGAAAGGTTGCTTGTTCACACTTAAAATCTGCCAAAATAATTGCTTTTTCTCACTTGTGTATCTTGCCTTATGCCTAAGTACATGTTTATACCCATTAGTCACTTCTAATATTCTCATAACTAGAATATTGGTCACATTCAAATATTCCTTTATACGTCGGTCCTTCCTAATTTTGGATCTAAGCATTACCATGTTATTTAAAATGATTAAAATTGTAAGTCAAATATTGACAGATCAAATTCAAGGTGTCGATCACAAATTTTTTAAGGCATTAGCAGAACCAAAACATCACTGTTCTTTTTGTTACAAGTGACGTTTCTTTTTTACAAAATTTGAAATGATGCAATTTTAGAATGATATCACAAATCCTTTTGAGCAGATCCATATTCTTTAGGTTTTTCCTTCTTGAATGTCCATCTCAATGTTCATTTTTTAAAGTTAAAAGCTTCATGATTTAGTCTTATGCCAGGATAATTGCTATCGATGTCAAAATCTGGTTTTTGTTTTTTAGTGTAAAATAAAGTTGAAAGCTTACTATTTAAAAGGTATGCTTTGATCCTTATAGTATAGTGCTATTTATCATCATTTGAGCTCAACCTGGCAAAAAAAAAAAAGCTTTTGTTAAAAGGTTAGAGTAAATCATGCTAAATTTATAACAAGGTGACTTTAAATGACTACACATGTTCCGTACATGTCCCTAATGATCATAGATTGCCTGATGGGATATTCTTAAAGAAGTCACTTAATATTTTAGATTAATTCAATATTATTTGCCAGCTTTTTGTGCAAAACTCCAAAATTTTGTGTTTTTGTGACTTGTCCTGTAGAGCTGAATGAGTTGTGAGATGCAAATGTTTGTTCAATGAATCCATTCTTGACGCTTGTCAAATACATTGTTCCATTTCATATCATGGAGGAGGATAAACCATATCTCATTGATTAAACAGTGTTTTTCCTTTAATGAACATGAACCACAAGACGGCAAACTTTACCCAATGTTTGTGCAAGATGTCCCTGCTTTCTCATAAGCAATTGAAAATAACACATTTTCTTCTGCTCAATGTGTACTTGAATCACATATCAGCACTTGTGTTCTTTGCCTGGTGTTCCTGCTTCTTCTCCCAACTGCCCATGACGGCCTCACCAATGTAAATTAACATTACTTGGCTTCTATTATTTCAGACTCCACACTAAAATCCTGTGTGATTGGTCATCATTTGTACAAACTCTACTAAAACCATTGTGACAAAAAAAACAAAGATAATTAGAATTTTTTTTTTCCAACGAAGGAATCCATTAAATGTTACAACAAATTACTCCCAAGGCCCTTAAGAGTTTTCATTTGTTTTTCATTCAGTTTTGATTTCAAATTATTTGGCTTTTTCATTTCTTTTTATACTCATTTTTCTAAATACTTTGTGCAATTATTTGTCATTACATTGTATTTTATTATATTTTTTAATTTGGTTCATATAATATGAAATGCAATATTACATGTTGATAATTTCTGGATTATGATATGGATCAAGTTGACAGAATTTCATAACTTGACTGCTCATATAGATGTCAGGTGAGAGGCACTTTATTGTTTGTATTTACAGCCAACTCATTAAGATTAAAAATTTCTGTTGCAGATCGTCAAAAAAATGTTATATGTAGAACTTAAAATCATACTTGACAGTGATAAAAGATGAATGGCCAGTCATTTTACAACTACCCATCTAAAGAAGCCTAAATTTACATATTTTTACAAAAGTTCAAACTCTCTTCTCATTCTTTGATGATTGAGTTGATTAGTGTATGAGAAATTGATCCTGATGATTGAGTTGATTAGTGTATGAGAAATTGATCCTGATGATTGAGTTGATTAGTGTATGAGAAATTGATCCTGATGATTGAGTTGATTTAGTGTATGAGAAATTGATCCTGATGATTGAGTTGATTAGTGTATGAGAAATTGATCCTGATGATTGAGTTGATTAGTGTACGAGAAGATTATCCTGATGACTGAGTTGATTAGTGCATGAGAGTTTGATCCTAGTCACATGATATGATCTGTATGCCAATTGGATGACACACATTGATTCTATAAATCATGCTTGTGAAATTCACAATAAATAAACATTTATCAAAATAATAAATCAATGACAGTTAAAATATATTAGTCAGCCTATTCCATTTTAAAGGTATCAACTATCAAAGCAAGATCGCAGTTTAGTTGAGTATATTATTTCCTTACATTTTCAAAATTATATAATAGATAGTTAATGTTTCTTCATCTTCAGTCCACTTTTTTCACATAGGTGTCAGTTTATATGCTCAGTGTCTAAATAGTGATGATGAAAACATATGATACATACATGTCAGAGAGAATTGTCTTGAAATGTTAAAATTTTGGGAAATTCTGTGATATTTTATACTTTTTATCAATTTTTCACTAGCCTGAGTAATGTGCTTCAAAATATAAAAAATAAATGAATAGGTTGTAAGTTCGACATTTGTGTCAATAAATGAATAGGTTGTAGGTTTGACATCACTTTGTCATTAGATAAATAGGTTGTAAGTTCGACATTTGTGTCAATAAATGAATTGGTTGTAGGTTTGACATCACTGTGTCATTAGATAAATAGGTTGTAAGTTTGACATCACTGTGTCATTAGATAAATAGGTCGTAGGTTTGACATCACTGTGTCATTAGATAAATAGGTTGTTAGTTTGACATCACTGTGTCATTAGATAAATAGGTTGTAAGTTTGACATCACTGTGTCATCAGATGAATAGGTTGTAAGTTTGACATCACCGTGTCATTAGATAAGTAGTTTGTAAGTTTGACATCACCGTGTCATTAGATTAATAGGTTGTAAGTTTGACATCACCGTGTCATGAGATGAATAGGTTGTAAGTTTGACATCACCGTGTCATCAGATGAATAGGTTGTAAGTTTGACATCACTGTGTCATTAGATAAATAGGTTGTAAGTTTGACATCTCGGTATCAATACATGAATAGGTTGTAAGTTTGACATCACCGTGTCATTAGATAAATAGGTTGTAAGTTTGACATCTCGGTATCAATACATGAATAGGTTGTAAGTTTGACATCACCGTGTCATCGGATAAATAGGTTGTAAGCTTGACATCACTGTGTCATCAAATGAGTAGGTTGTTGGTTTGACATCTCTGTGTCAATAAATACACCAGGATGATTAATGTTTGGCTAATGTATGGTTGAAAAATGATTGTTTGAATAGTGATAGGCTGGCAATGAATGCAGGAGGTCACATAGTTATCATCGGATTGGTTTATCAAAGTTTACTGAAGCTTGTTGACAATTTAATCTCTGTTATTTAATAAGGGATAATATATGACTATGTTTAAGCCAAGGAAACTGAAGCAAGATATGTTTAAGCTTGAAATGAAAAGACGATTAAAAAGATGCCTGGCTAGATGCTTTATTCAGCAGACAATACAAAACAAGAAATAACAGATAATTGGAATCAAAAACATGTGTTAGAAAAAAAATCTCAAAGAAATCGATGTGGCGCTCTTTTTAGCTAAACATAGAAACACAGAGAGTCATTTGCATTTGAAGCCTAAACATATTATATTGTTTCACTAATTAAACACTTTTTCTACAGCATATTGAAATAAAATATGCACATTTTCCCAATTTTTTACTCTGGCATGTTTCAAATCTTTCCAGCAAATTGCCACATTATGGATTAATGTGAAACTTGTTTGTAGTAGAGAGAAACTTGTACATCACAACTGTTTTGTAATGAATGTTTACTTAAACTTAAAATGAAATATTTTTTTTTTTAATGTGGTAACCTTTACAGTTTATAAGTATCAGGAAAAATAATTTTTATTTCAATTTTGTGTGTTTAACTCAAAATATATTTTTGTGTGTTATACTCAGTATATATATTGTGTATGTGTGTGTGTGTTGTTGATATTTTTTTATTTTTTATTTTTTTAATGAGTACATTGGGTAAGAAAACAAGTTTGAAACAAATCTCTAACCATTGTGTTCATAAAGTAACTGCATTACTGCCGGTAGCTTACATGCTGATTACATTTATCAAGCAATGTAAGAATTTCTCATTTAGCCTGTATTTCAAAACAATTAAACTTTGTTTGAAACAGTCTGTTGTGTTTTTGTATGTGTATCACATGTGCGGCCAGAAGGCAATCTCTCTCTCTCTCTCTCTCAGGTAATCAAGGCCAGAGGGCATTCTCTCTGTCAGGTAATCCTGACCAGAATGCATTGTCTATCTCTCTTTCATGTAATACTGGCCAGAAGGCAATTTCTCAGGTAATCCTGGCAAGAAGGCATTGACTTTCTCAGGTCATCCCGGGGTAAGGGTTAACAAAAAGACCATTTCAACCACTTTCTTTGGAATTAGTTGCAGACAACAATAAGGAAAACTATTTTGGAAAGAGTGACCTAAAAAGATTTTCTAAGGCAGAGATGAATAGAAAGCTATCTTGAATCTTCTAATTTCAATAGGACACACAAGATGAAGAGAGTTCAATGTATATATTTGACTAAATTATAGGATATATTTTCCCAATGGGCATAATTTAACAACACAAAAATTAATGGCCTGCGAAGCATGCCATCCAACATGCTGATGTAGTAAAGGGACATATTCAAACTGAGTCATACATTAGCGACTCCAGACCTCACTTACAAAAGTAGCACAACAAAAATATCTTAAGTAACGATGGATTCGTTAATGTCTTCACGCACGAGAAAGGGGGGGGTTGATGTGACACTAGTGACAGCTAAGGCAATTTAATCCCATCTGCCCACCCCGGGGGGCTTGTTTGTGACACTTCGTGTGCAGGTGAGAGAGTGGGAAAGGGGGGGGGGGAGATGTCATCATAATATGAGGCTACGGGCTCTGTTGATGTGCTCCCATCTCATCGCAAATAACGTGTCTGTAACAAGTTTGGTTCGTTTGTTAATTGACTGCGGGTTGTCAGCTTTTGAAAATGGTTGGTATCTTTTACGTTTAGTGTTATTAGAATTATTTTTGTGTGTGCGCGTGTGGTTGCTCTCAGCTAAGCTGCTGCTTAACCTGTGTTAATGATGTTTGTTGGGCAAGGTAATTTGTTGGGCAAGGTAATTTGTTGGGCAAGGTGATTTATTGGGCAAGGTAATTTGTTGGGCAAGGTAATTTGTTGGGCAAGGTGATTTGTTGGACAAGGTGAAGCCTCGCTGGCGCTGTTTGTACAGAATTGCAGGCATTGTGGGCAAGTTAATGCATCACTGAGGGACCGGGGGGGGGGCGTAACCGAGTCCAACTTATGTCCGTAAGCTGACATGCACTAAACACAAACTTGGTTGCGTTAAGGGGTGTGGGGCGGGCCACCCACGGGAAGCACTGTTTAAATCCTTTATTTTAAAAACCGCTAGTTCGCGTCGACCTATCGAGCTGAGACTTGACGCATAGACTCGTTGCCCATGACAATTCATTACTTCATATGTTAA